CTGGCATGTCTCTGCTAATTCGTATAGCGCTAATTAGCTTCGATAAAATCGATCACCGACTCTTTCTCGCCTTGTACACGTTTATTAAAGCGAGCTCGTTCGAATATAACATTCGACCGTCTCACAAAATGCGATGCGAATTGTTGAATAACTGTCTCGTAGACATAGTCTTTTTCGTCGAGATGAAAGCTTTTCAAGATATCGTTGGCATTTCCACCCATTGCATAAACCAAAGTGTTTATCTGGACTTTGTCGTCAAGTCCCGCTGCAATGCGATAGCATTCAAAGCGTTCTATCCATCGCTTCCAATCTTCTGGCTTTTTTGAATCTAACTTTTCAGGCAAAGGGATCTGTGCTGTCGCCATTTGAAAATATGTTATCGGCCGGGTTTTTCTGTTTTCCGATTATTTCGCTTCCCCAAACACCTGACACCATGTAAAGTCCTCGATATATTATTATTTAAGAACTAAAACTACATGTTCATCCGTGCATTATATACTAATTACAATAACACCTAATTATCATGTGTAGTAAACAATTAACTTACTAATGACCACACAACTGTAAATGATTAGTGTAAAAATGCATGCAAGCATATTATTACCTGTCTTTCTCGTCATGTGGATTGTAAAGATTTTCACCTTTTAGTTCTGAGAGTTGTTGTTTGAAGTATTTTTCAAGTCTCTCATAAATTTCTTTCCACCACCTCTCAATCTAAATGCAGTATAAAAAAGTCAAGTCAGCTCTGCATGCATCTCTGTATGGCTTGGAAAGCTTTCTCCTTTCTCACATCTAAGTATCCAACAAGGCATTGAAGAAATACTAGTTCTTATTATATAGTGAACACTGTATAAGGAGATGATTGGAATATCACAAGCCCACTTTGGCGGCATGTTGGTTATTGAAATCTGGCTAGCCCGGGTGTGCCAGAACATAAATCCGACAACAAAGAACAATCTGTATGTATGGAAACCCAAAAATGCAGTATATTAACAATATTTAGTTAACATGTAGTATCAACTGGTCAAAATACTCAAGACAAATGTGGGTTTAGCAGGATTAAGTATATTTTAGCTTGGCCCGTGTCAGAGAAATATGATAGTTATCTCATTTAAGTATCATACAAGTATCAGTAACATAGGTTGTTTGCTTAACCTGGCTAGCTAATCATGTACTGATACTCTAAACTTCCACTTTCTTCATCTGTATGTAAAACAGAAGAAAACGATAAATTACTAAATTTAACATATATCTATAATATATTCACCTGATTGGAAGTAGATGGACCATAGAAAACAGTGTGATCACATGCATCTGTAATATCTTCATGGTTGCGGCGCAGAAAAGCATGCATGGTAGCCATAATACCAATTTCTGTACCTTTATACATTCGAAGGTATGAAGCCACGACCTTTGCCTCGTAGAGATATTCAAGGTACCAGCGCCCAGCCAAACGCGAAGCCAAAGCAATTTTTCTGCTACAGGCAACCATAAACAGCCAATGGAAAAGTACTATTTTGGTACCCCATCAGCTTATCGTGTCCATCCACAGAATGAACCGAGTTTGGCCCTTTGCTTGAAAAACATTCTTTAGGCTTCTTTCTTTTAGGTCCAACAGCGCGAGTTTCAAGGTCCTCTGGATCGAGCTCGTACATTACGGCTTGAACGAGATCTCTTGGAATATTCAAACCATGTTCTTGCCTGACCTTCTTGTGCATCGCACGATAACCGAGAAGTTTACCGGGACCACGAAGTTCTTCTGACACAGCGACACGCACCTCATCGACAGATACATTTGTATCGGTGTATTTAATGTTGAAATGGCGAAGGCGTCGACTAGGGTGGTATACTCCACGCATATTGAGGAAAGTCGCGCTTTAAAAAATCCAGCATTTCCCGTCGCTTAATACCTTGTTTAACAAAGGTTTTCATGTCTTCTTCAAGCTGATAATCGCTTTGCCAAGCATCATTTCCATAAACATGTGAGCCAGTTGCCATTTTTGTTTATATTAGACTAAATATATAACCCCCGCAAAGCAAGACAAACAACGAATCAACGCGCGCAATGCATTATGGTATACTGTGATAGCGATAGGCCGATAAAATTTCATTTTAATTTCATTTTAATTTTAAAATGCATTCAAAAACTTTTCATTTTTACTTCTATTTTTTTATTTTTTTAGTAAAATACTTTTATTTTTGTTTTATTTTGAAACTAGATTCCATTTAGAATGAAATAAAAAATCGTACATTTTTTTTTTATAAGAAAATCTATGATAGTGATAGGCCTCTCTCCTCCGCAGAGGCTTTAATTGGCTATGAAGGCGCGAAGCCTTTGTACGATGCCACACCCAATATGGCGGTAAACCGGGGGGGGGGCGTATAATTATCAAACGCAAAATTCAAGTCAAAATGACTGAGAAAATATCTCTCTACAATACTGCAACAAGCTGGCAAAGAGATTATTTACTAGCTCTACGAAATAAGAAAGTGTTATGTTCAGTTTGCGAGATAACATCTGCATTTTTTCTAGACAAGGTCTCCATCTACTGTATAAAACAATGCATGGAAACAACGTATTTAGCGAACAGGTTTTGGTTGCAAGCGAAGAAACTTTTATTTAAATTTATATTTGACATTTGTATTTTTAGAAATGTGCCCAAAACCGCATAAAAGAAAAAAATGAGTATGTATAGCATA